ATGGGGAGGGGGTGTGCAGAGGGGGGGGGGAGAGTCCAGACACCCCGTCAATTAGTCAATTAAATCATACGATTGTTAGCCAATTATTATGGTATGTAATAAACGGTACACTTGTTTGTTGTGAACACCGGGGGGAAAGGGAATTGACACTTGTGTAATATAAGCTAGGTTGTTTTGAGCAACAGAATTAATTAATTATATAGATGTGATATAGATGTTGCGGTGCTATTTTGTACCATCGCTTCAAATGATACAAATGATGGTAAAAGTAATACAATAACCAGGAGTTACTAGAAATGAATTATATATGGGTTGGAATTGAAGGCAAGAATTTATGATCACGTTTTGCGTCAAATGATAACTATTGCTAAAACTTATAGAAATTCTTATTCCGGGCTTTAATTGTTTTGTCATTGAATTAATATACAAAACATTTTGAATGGGTTTTTAATAAATACAGTTTTGAACGCAAAACAAACACAAAACGTCTTTATTAAAGTGAATTTAATCATAAATTTAATTCAATTAGAAAATTGAAAGTAAACACTGTTTGTTGAATGCAAATACAAATAATACATTGTTTTGTTTACAGACGTTTTGCTTTTGTCTCAATGCGTGAAAAATGTCAAAAAACAACTGCTTTTTATTGATTTCTATCAAACAATTTCTCCTTTTATTTTGGTATATGTTTTCTCTTTTTTTTAATAAAACGTTACAAACGTTTGATACAAACGATGAACACAAGAGTCAAATAAATCCGAGAGAATGTATTTACAGAGGAATCAATTGCAAAACAAAGCAAATCAAACATTAAATGAATTGTATTTTTTTTACTTTCATTTGAAGAGAAAATAAATGTGAAGTTTTTGTTAACAAAATTTCTATTAATAGATGAAATTAATTGAAACAAAAACCGTATATAAAAAATAAGATAAAAATAAAACAAAACAAATTGTTTGCCACTAAAAGACAGATAATTAGATGAAGACATATAAGTGGGAGAAATAGTGGGAAAGAGAGAGAGAGAGAGAGAGAGAGCTTGTATTGAATCAAACAGCTGTTCCGCGTTCGAGATTTTGTTTGATTTCTTGCGTGTATTGTCCGTAAAATCTGTCCAACTTTTTATTGAACTTCATATTGCGTTCATTGATGTAATCGATGTCCGCGTCGTCGTCGAAACGGCGCCTCCGGCTATACTTCGAGCGCTTTTCGATCTGTTTGTCGAGATCTTCGACCATCCGATCGATGGCGGCCTTCGAGTCCTTATGCGTGCCGTGGATTAGCGTCGAGTGATTGGCGTAAAACACTTTGTCTCCGACCGCCTCCTTATTCTTGTGGTACTCCTCTAAGTCTGGTTTCATTTGTTTCGTGAGTCGATTGTACTGACGAGCGGTCGCCGCCTCGAAGCCACTGAATCCCGGGTCGGGATTGTGTTTGGCCTCACGTTTGCGATGCCAGCGCTCGGAGTCGTCCGCCTGAATGTCCATCAATTTGTTGCGCTCGTAGTCTTCGCCCGACTCTTTGGCCCTCTCTTTGGCCACCTCTTCGTTCAGCCGATACTCAGCCAACTCTGACTTCTTCTCCCAATTCTGTGGCAATTGTTGTCTTTTATTCTCTTCGACCACTTCTTTGTGGTTCAGACGACTCGCTTCCGTCTAATGGATCAGATAATTGGCACATAATTAAGACATTGAATAAAATGGTAATAAAATGAATCAATTTAGTGGTAAATAACAATCGCTTACTCTCTTTGAGTGCAATTCTCGCAATTTCTTCATACGTTCGGCCCGTTTGGCCGACTGGTCATCGGTGGTCACTGAAGACATCGTTGTTTTGACACAATCAACACAATTAATGGCAAACAATACGACAATTGAATTGAAAGCGTAATGCAATCAAACGTTTGGCTCAACTCTTCAATGGAAACGCAATGTCTGTCTCAACGCTAAACACAACACGTGTTGAGAGAGCCCTCTATTGTCACACACTTTCACCCAATGTTTAAATCCTAATGTTTTGCCACAAAATCATATGTTTTTACGCGAAACACATGTTTTTACGTTCAAATGTTTTGATTGAATCAAAAGCATTAAATTGTCGACAAAATCATCGTTTCGTCGATTAGTTGTTGAAAAATACAAAACACTTTATTGTCATTGAAATGAGTTATGAATACAAGAGCCAAATGTGGACCAAATACAACCCGTCGGTCATCGAGTACTCACCGGCGCATCAGCTGTTCGTTTGCGGCACTTATCAGCTCTTTGACGACCAATCGGTGGACACAATTGACGAGACACTCGCCGCCGCACTCAAGAGAGTCAACAATCGTTTCGGTAATCTATTGCTCATAACGAGAGACAATCGATTGGCCGAAGAGTACGAGTGCACAGACGGCGGCGTCTTTGACCTCAAACTCACCGAATGGGACGAACGGCCGGACTGTCCTGTTGTCGCTCACGCCAACGGTTCCGTCACCGTCTATGGTATCGACTCTTCACAGAGAGTGGAATCCCTGCGAAGATATGCCACCAATTCATCGCTGTTGACGTGTCTGATAGTCACTCACTTCGGTTACACTATTGTCGGCGATTCCGACGGAAAGTTAGTGTTTGTGGACACGTCTTCCGAGTCGACCGCACAGTTGTCTGTCACCAAACATTGCGAACCCATTTGGTCCGTGTTTTGCGCCCAAATCGGTGACAATTATGCGCTATTTGTCGGTTCAGACGACTCCCGATGGCGTGTGTATTGTTTGCCACATTCGGTGTCCATCTCTTCAGGCGGTGACCAACTGTTGTCTCAATTGATGCCGAAGTACGTGAACACTGACTCCGACGCCGGTATCACTAGTTTCACGACAAATAACTGTTCAGATAATGTGTTGTCACTTATTGTCGGTTCTTATGACGAATTCATACGCTATTATAGTCTTGAGTTTGTGTCAAATGATAGTGAAATGAAAGTATGTCTCAAACATAAGCTGCATATCGATGGCAGTGGTATTTGGCGTATAGTTGTTAGACATGGCTTTGAAAGCATGCAATTAGTGTCGGGCATGTATTCCGGCGCTCATCTCATTGTGGACTCCAAACTGGACCAGACATTAGTGCCCCCGGAGTCCACTCCCGATGTCAAACACCTTATATATGGTGTTAATTGTGATCTACAACTCAATCATATTCTGATGGCTTCTTTTTATGGACAAACATTATATCTATTCTCGAAATCTTGATATTTTTATTTACAATACATTTACCGATAAAAATTAATATAATAAATGCAACAAAACTTCTATAATTTTTTTTACCAATTCTAAAGGAAAATACTTTTGTAAATATAGTTTGCGATACCGAAGAAACAGATATAATGTAATGAAACTTGTATTACAGGAACTAATGGATGGCTTTACGTACTATTTATTTACCGTAACATTCAATGGCCAGAAAATAACAATCACTTTCTAAACAATCGATACATTTTGAGTATATCTTTGTCTTTCATGTGCAGTAGTTTGTCGACAATCCAATCGCTTTGATTGTCTTTCATGTAATGCCGGATAAATCTATCATTCATTTGATAAGTGAACCAAATATTAAACGTTTATAACAAACCTAATCATTGGATAACTTACTGGTAATTCAAGCAAATCTTGTTTTGCATATATTTATTGAAACTCATAAATTTGAAGTTTTGGTTTGACATATGATTTTGGATTAAGTCATTGATTCCCGAAACGCAATCAAAAACGACAAATATCTTAACAGTCACTGAATCGGGCGCTAAATGTTTGGACAATAAATAGCATTAAATATCTCAATATTCGACATTTTCAATGACATAACCATTTCATACATTGTTTCATGATTTGGATGTTATAGGGATAGCAGAAGAGTATGTCTTCGGTGTTCACTTTGAGCAGTGATTTCTGTTGTAATGAATAATCGGAGAAATTCTTAACCACTTCTTCGTAAGCCTTTGGATATGATATGAAATTCAAGTCTTAAATACATAAAAATTGAAAACACAATCAATGGTTACCTCTTCGGTGATCATCTCTTTGATGCCTTCGATGTGATCGTTGGCTAAATTGGATGATATGATGGACACAGCCTTCGAGATAAGCGGAGGAATGGATTAATAATTAATGGATTACTAATAGTTAGTAAATGAATGAATTGAATGCCTGTTTGGCTCCCAATAGGAAATTCTTGAGATTAAAGTCTCTGTCAATCATTGGCTTTAAATACATGTAAACAATGAACTGATTCTTCAGAGCGTAGAACAGATTAGGCATCCCTTTGGGGGTAAACTTCATGAGCGGTGGTATTGAGTACTCAAAGGCCTCCTTCTGGTCATCACTGGTTGACAATTGTCTCGATTGTGGGCCACATCTGGTCGACGACAAAACGGGCGCCAATTTGTGGCCATAAAAGAGACGGTTTTGAAGAGAATTGACGTGAAATGGATTGAAATGAAGAGACAATCGACGGCTCATTGAAAGCATGACTCAAACGATCGCAAAGTTTTGTTTACAAAATGCGAACCAAAACACGAGTTGTGACGAAACGGACGTAATGTTTGTGTTTTGCAAAACCAAACGATGTTTTGTTTGCACTTTTGAGCGCAACTTTCAATTGAATGTCCGCAATATTAAATTACTATTGTTTTCGCATTATTTTCGTAGTGTTATGCAATACTACTCGCTAGCATTGACAGTGCATTGAATCTGCTTATCACTCACATATGTCTGGCTACAGCACAACATTGGTGTACACGTAGTTATCGACTACAGTCAGTATTGCATAACACTACGAAAATAATGCGAAAACATTATTACATCAGCCGTTCTTATAGTCTGTCTTTGGGTTTATACATTTGAGCGCCAGTAATGCCATTATAATGTTGCGCCAAAGAACCCATTAATGTCATGCCATTTGTATTTATACTGAAATTGGAATAATTGATGAAATAAAGAAATTGTTGAGAATTTGATGAGAAATTGTTGAGAAATTG